TAAAGTTAACCATCCAACTGTTTGCAGAATCAGGGCCTATGAGTGAATGAGTACAAATTAGACCATTATGAAACTGCACCTGGTCAGGGCATCACAGTCCTGCAACTGGTGCTTAGTAAACAATTCTGGTGATGATGCACAAAAACCAGACTTCAGCTCACTCTCACCTGTGCTGTTCTGCAGGTTTAAAGGGAGTTGAAAGCAATGAAGCCTTATTTTAATCATGGAAGAGAGCAGCTCTGATTCTGAATACAAACGGGACAGATCTGAGGAGCAGAAGGTGCCTGCACACTGCTTGGTTAACTCACTAGCTCAGGAAGGATCAATGCCACTTCAGAGTCTCTTTTCAGGCCCTTGCCTCAGGGCACAATTTATTGGTTAAAGAGAAAACATAAACAAAAACACCAAAATAAAGTAGTTTCCCTTGTCCAACATGGGCTAAAGGCTTTTCCCGCACCCCTCTCAGCCCTTCTAGGACCTTGCCCTGTCATAGGGACTCCAGTTCTCACTCTTCAGGCCTTCTACCTGTGAGTCACTTAATAGCTGAGTTCTTTCACCTATGGTTCTCCAGCTCAACTGATCCCTTGCTAGCCTTTATACAGACTAGGACCCTGGTTTTTAAAGGTATTTAGACATTGCTGTGCTCAGCACTGCAATGCTTAACTGATTTAAGAGCCTAAATCTCATTTTCAAAAGGGATTTAGGTGCTTAGGAGCATAAATCACACTGACTTTAAAACTCAGAGCATGGTACTCTTCAAGCTATCACATGACACCTACCCCACAACCTCAACTAGAAGGCAACTGATCAGTTACAGGTGGGGCTGGACCCATAAGCCCTTTAAGAGGCCAGCCACTCTGTGCAAGCGCCATTTTTACAAAGTCACTTTTTTGGAGTAGAATCACACTTCAATGGTTAACAAAAAACATTGGCTGGATATTCCACAACCTAATGAAGTCTGAACTTTACTCCCTCCGCTTTGCCATGGGTCCCATCCCTTCACGAGCCTGGAAAGAATTGCATTGTCCTTTTGACTAAGGAAAGACATTCAAAGCTTTGGAGAACATGAGGTACAAGAAATGTTTTACTCCTAGGGTTGTGAAAAATGAAGAGAGACAGCAACTGCAATGCTCTAAACCAATTTACCCTCTAACCCAATTTAAAAATATGGAGACAAAGTTCTGTTTGTGGACTATCCATTTTTTAGTGGGTAGCTCCCTCGTGTGTATTTGGAAGGTACATGCAGCTTATAAGAATGGAGTCATTTCTTTAGGGAGTCAGTTATTTCCACCAAACATGAAAAAGGAACAGTGGCCTCCAGTGGACAGACACAAGGGCAGAGGAGAGGAGAGGAAGAACCAAAAGAGGAATTATTCTAGCTGCAAGTTTATCTTCCCAATTCAGACATCAAGTAACTGGTGCAGTCTGAATAGCCTCTAGACTGATTTTCGTAGATGCCAGGTAGTGTACATCGGTTGATGGTTAAGGTTATCACACCGTGTGGCTACCCTGTAGGGTTGTCTGAGAAGAGAAGGTGACACTATGATGGAGAAAGCCCTGGTTTAAACACCCAAGGTTTGGGCAGTTAATGTTATTGAACATGAGGCCAATTCTACAAACCTTACGTCAGGAGCCTATGACTACATAGCGAAGACTATGGGGGTACTTCCATAAGTAAAGAGTTGAGTAAGGATTTCAAGAATGGACTTAACTTAGGAAACACGTGTAAAAGATGAATGTCTGAAATCCAATACATTGTATGTCAAGTTTCTTGAATATGTTTTCAGTTTTTACTGTCTTCTAGCACAATTGTCTGCTAAAAATATCCTCTTCTGGCACCAAGTATAGTAACCCTGGAAAGTGGTACCAGAGTTACAATATGGGCTGATAAACAGTATATATAGAATCTGCAAACAGGGAACTGAAAAAAAATCTACATGCTTTGATACCCAGCTATTTAATCTTGACCATCAAACAGAGGAAATATGGTACAGTGTACAGCATGCTAGACTTTAAACTCTACCATTGACTCATTATGTGACCTTGGGCAAATCACTTATTCTGTCTGTGTTTACTCGTTGGTAAAATGAGAACAGTGATACTTACCCACCTTTGTAAATCTCTTTAAGATGTATAGATGAAGCATGCTATATAAACGGTAAGCACTATTCCCATGTTCTTGTCTCCTGGAATATTTATACTTATGGTCATTTGATAATTGCTCAGTTTGTTATGCTTTTCCCTCCCGTTTTGACTCAACATATATTGTATGACTTAACTTGTATCTGCTTATTAACTGATACATATCTGATTGCTTATTAACAAGACTGACAAAATAAATAAGCACTGGAGCACAGTAAGTAGTGTCATCTCACAGTGTTACTTACAGAAAAGCAGAGTTTGGTTTGGCCATGGAATCCAGCATTTCCAGGATGGTTGTGATGATTTATACTGCCATCTGCTGATAGAAATGTGATCAACTTTAACAAAGATTGGAAAAACTGGTCCCATATGTTCAAACAGGATGAGAATTTTTTGTATCTTTATAAATGTTTATTCAAACAAATTTAAAGGAAAAGCCTATTCTTATTTTATTTCAAAAACAATTCTTAGTGAATTTAGTGCTTTCAGGGGGCTCCAGAGAGCCATTATTAAAAACTATACAGGCTGGAAAAAAAAAACAAGATGGGCAACTTCTCCCCCATAATAACCTGATACTAGTGTCAGTTTGTCTCAATCCTGATCCCTCTAAATTCTGTCTCCATGACTTTCTCCCCTGCAGCTCCTGCCATGTGGAACCACCTTCATGGATCTGACTCATCAGCTTTCCAACACTTCAAATCTCATCTGAAAACCTTATTTACTCCCCTCCTTTAGACGTTTCATTTCTCCTTCTCCCTCTATTATTATATTTTATTCAACTCAATAATGTGTTTTGAGATGAAGTGTAAATTTTTCAAAAGCACCTATGTGATCTGGAAGCCTATGTCCCATTTTCAAGAGACAGACGCTCAGAAGCCTAAGTCAGAGTGCCTTAAGCACTTAAGAAAATGTTACCCAAAAATCTCCATAAATGATCCTACATAATATAAAATTGCATTGTACTGTATATGCCAGTATGATTCATACATAGCTACGGGCTGTAAATTTTAGACCTGGGCCCAGATTCCCAAAGATATTTAGAAGTCAGGAGCCAAAATACCTAGGATCTGGGCCTTGGTCTCTAGATGTCAGCAATATTCTGTAATCACACCCTGCAAATATGCCCCAGGAATTTGATCACGTCAGCCTAAATCTTTCTTAGCTTTGTGTTTTAAACAACACTTTTTATTTATACCAGGAACATAAGAACGGCCATACTGGGTCAGACCAAAGGTCCGTCTAGCCCAGTATCCTGTCTTCTGACAGTGGCCAATGCCAGGTGCTCCAGAGAGAATAAACAAAACAGGTAATCATCAAGTGATCCATGCCCTGTCGCCCATTCTGGGCAACCATCCCTGCCCATCCTGGCTAATAGCTATTGATGGACAAATCCTCCATGAACTTATCTAGTTCTTTTTTGAATCCTGTTATCGTCTTGGTCTTCACAACATCCTCTGGCAAGGAGTTCCACAGGTTGACTGTGTGTTATGTGAAAATAGATAAGAACACTGGGAAATGTGCCAGTAAAAATTGCATACCCAGCTATTGCTTTAAAAAAAATATCATGTGCATGGCACTGAGTCAGAAGCAGTTTTCTCAATATGCTTTTTCAGTCCCTACATGTAGAGTTTGTTTATTGCTTTTATGACACTTAATGTTTTCTCAACAGTTGTTTGTTTTCCAAACAGGTTACAATGCCACCTCTCCCAGCCTAACCCACAGCACTGACTGATAGACCCCATTATGATGAGAGAGAGAAAGGGGACAAATCCTAGATTTGAGACCCAAACCCCTTTACATCCACAGAAATTTGGGATACCTTTTATTCCCATACTTTGGGTGCCCACATTCTGTGCAGACAAGAGACTCATTGGCAACTTGTTAAGAGCCCAAAGACCAAACTCAAGTACATTAAATGGAACAGGTCAAAATCACCCTGATCTGAGCCAGCCCATTTCATACTGTCGATTTGGTTGGGCTACACATGTGTATTAAAGAAGGTGGGGCAATTACTGAACTCCACAGACCACACTCTGGGACAGTCTCCATTGTAAATTACTGACATCAGAAACATAGGTCCATGACATGGAGGCGGCAGAACACTGTTGTTGGCTAGACAGGGACACATTCCTACGAAAATTCTTTACCACTTTCAATTGAGATTTCATTTAGATGGACATTGTCCATCCAGCTCTATTGACTGCACTACTGATGCAGGTGGTACTGAGCCCCCAACCCCTTTTCACACCAGCTTCAGTCCCTGGCTCCACCAACCCCTCTCTCCCTCCACCCCATAAGAGGGCCATGGCTGGCTGCAGGAGGAGCCCTCAGCTTCCACTCTGCAGAGGGGAGGTTGCTGTGTGTTTTAATTACCCTTCCCCCCCCACACACACACACTCACACCCCTGGTATCTCTCCCTCTTCCCTTCACCTCCTTCCCCCATCCCTTCCTTCTTCACCCCAGCCCCCTATCCCTTCCCCCTCAACGCCTGTTCCAGCCTTCCCCCTCTACCCCATCCCTTCCCCCTCTACCCCATCCCTGCCCCCTTCCCCCCAGCCCCC